TAAAGTTTTACTGAAAACAAACATTTGAAATGTATTTAGCAGGTTTTATAGAATACAATAATGAAAGTTTAGATTTTTGAGGTGAAGAAAAGTATTTTTAATTTTAACATGAAAATCACTTTGCACACGGACTATTCAAAACGAATACTTGATATATTCATGGACAAATCTACTTTTAGTATATAAAAAAATACTTCATTAAAAAATATAATTTTTTGTATGTGAAAGACTGCCAAATTTCATGTAGATATACATACTATATTAAAAGTTTGTAATATCAAATCTATAAAGATTTTCAATGAGTCCAAATTGACCAAGCCCATGTTGAGAGAGTTAATTTGTCAGTTGTAGTGAGTTAATAGGTTAAATTTGTTCCTTTTTGTAATCTACATTTTTCTCAATTTAAAGATCAAAATCTGCATTTTGAATAAATTGATCTGTTTTACTAAGTTTAAATTATTTTAAGGTATTACTAAGATGGCTATGCAGTAGTTTTATATACAGCACTGTTGTTATCAGTCGTTCACTTTTTTTTTTCTTTAATATGATAGAATGTAAGTTTAAAAATATTCTTTTGTCTCAGGTATGAAATAATGAAATCCTGCTGGGAGACATTTCACCAACGGCTCGTGATTCAGAAAGTGGCAGCTCTTTTGAAACATCTACATGAAAGTAGAAATGTATCATCTAATTCAGTGGCATTTGAAGATCAGTGGTACACCTTACAGCCCATTCTTAAATATGATAACATATCTTCACACAATAGCCCATTTAAAATATGCATGCAGTTTGAAAGTGATTTCACTGTGGATCATTCATCACAAGAAATACCTCCTTCACAGGGTTCCTTTTCTACTGCACATGAAGTTGAAATTGAGCCAAAGACCCACATTTCTCCAAGCTTGAAGAACCTGAGAGGAAGTATTGAAGATCTGAGCTTATTGGAAGAAACAAATTGCCAGAGCTCAGAAGGTTTAGAATATTCACCTACAAAAATTAAACACTTGGAACCCCCTGAGAAAAGTTCAGAACAAGGTATTACTGATCAACAGATTACTGATGCAATTAAGAACCTAGACACTATACTTGTGAATGAAGTCTTGTCATCGTCAGCAGAAACTTCTAAGAGGACATCTCCTGACAGAAGTCGACAAGAAATTCTCGAAGCTTTGGGTAAGATTCCAGTCACCTTAGAGACGCCAGATAAAGAATCACCACTTAATAGTCTTGATTTTGAAAAAGATACCTGTCATACAAAAGTAAACAGTTTGTTGTTGGAAGGCCAAAAAATAATGACAGATCTTTTCAAGCTTAGAGTAATTGAAAGTGAAACCAATAGTGAATCGGACAGTCTTCCTTTTCAGTTTGTTCAAGAAAACAATTCTTTGTTGAAATCCAGAGAGGCTAAGAATAAAAGTAATTTAGCTTGTGTGTATGAAGAAGCACAACAGTTAGACATTACAAAATGTTTATCATCAGGTTTAAGATCTGATGATATTTGTATTTTATCACACAATAAAGAACATCAAGGTGATTCTCAAATACCAGAAGCTCTTTCTAAGGAAGAAGAATACCAAGGTGTTTCTCAAATACCAGAAGCTCTTTCTAAGGAAGAAGAAAACCAAGGTGTTTCTCAAATACCAGAAGCTCTTTCTAAGGAAGAAGAATACCAAGGTGTTTCTCAAATACTGGCAACTCTTTCTATGGAAGAAGAATACCAAGGTGTTTCTCAAATACCAGAAGCTCTTTCTAAGGAAGAAGAAAGGAAGGAAGAAGAACACCAAGGTGATTCTCAAATAACAGAAGTTTTCTCGAAGGAAAAAGAAGAATACCAAGGTGATTCTCAAATACCAGAAGTTCTTTCGAAGGAAGAAGAATACCAAGGTGATTCTCAAATACCAGAAGTTCTCTTGAAGGAAGAAGAATACCAAGGTGATTCTCAAATACCAGAAGTTCTCTCGAAGGAAGAAGAACACCAAGGTGATTCTCAAATACCAGAAGTTCTCTCGAAGGAAGAAGAACACCAAGGTGATTCTCAAATACCAGAAGTTCTCTCGAAGGAAGAAGAACACCAAGGTGATTCTCAAATACTGGCAACTCTTTCGAAGGAAGAAGAATACCAAGGTGATTCTCAAATACCAGCTGCTTTTACCTTTCCACAAGTGAGGGAAATCCCTCTGTCTAATCAGACAAAGATCAATTTTAGTGAGCTAAATGAAGAGGCTGTTTGCTTCATTCATATAGAAGGTCGTCAGCTAGTTTCAAGAAACCAATGTCTTGGAGACATCAGTGACCTCCATAAGAAAACATCAGTTATTGAAGATCCATCATCTGCAACAGATAAAGCCAATGTTGAATATACATTGGAAAGAAAGCAGTCTTCATCACCAACCTTAAAAAGTACAAATGTTCTCTCTGGAAATGATGACAATGAAGAAGGACTGATATCAGTAACAGGAGTAAGTACTTATTATGACACTTGTAGTTGTGCTTCTCAGACTCTAACGTACCCTGTTTTTTTTCCTTCTGTCTCTAGCTCCCTCAGACCTTCTGTTACTGTAATTGATCCAACTGGTGGTAGTGTTGCATGTCCAACTTCTGCTATAGCAAAGACTAATAACCTAGACTGTTTATCCCAAATTAACCAAGACCAGAGGTTTTCATTCACCCCCAAAGACTCTGATCTAACCTCCTCTTGTGCTGAAGTCAGCTCTCACTTTGATTCACCTTCTAATACAGAGTGCTTATATAATGACACTAATTCTATACATGTGCTGAATTCCAGATTGACCATCAGTGATTCAAGAGGGTATCCAGATGGAACTGACAGTAATTCAAGTTCTTGTTACAATAAAGCGGAAAAGGTACCTTGTGATGATTTACCAGATGTTATTGGTGCTAATACTGTATTTATAGATAGCAATGTTGAAGCTACTAACAATTCCGTTCATCTTGATCCTTTGATTATAAATCAGAGTGATCTAAATGTTTGTGATGTATCAGCCCCAAATAATGTATATGAAGATATTCAGACTATTGATGAAGAAATTTTGGAGTGTTATATACGTGATGATATGGTTGATGATAATGAGACATGTATATCTCAACTGAAAGAGGATAGAAATCTAGATAACCAAGAAACCATGATGGCTGAAACTGAAAATATTGTACCTAATCCTGCACTAATCGAACTTGCTTTGAATAGAAATGAATATCTTTCAGGTTTCCAAAGCCCAGTTTCAGAAGATAGTAAAAATACCAACTCGTGCTCTGATAACATTGAATCTAAAAATATATATAATCCACATAAAAAAGACTGGAACATTCTCTGTGTCAACAGTTCTCCTAGTGATTATTTTCAGTCCCAGACCGAGGGGAGTGGTTCCCCTTGTAAGTATGTCCAATACCAAGCTGAGGGGAGTAGTTCCTCTAGTGAGTATATTGTATCCCAAGCTAACGAAAATTGCTTCCTTAGTTATTTCACTCAGTCCCAAGCTGAGGGGAGTGGTTCCCCTAGTAAGTGTGACCAATACCAAGCTGAGGGGAGTAGTTCCCGTTGTAAGTATTTTCCATCGGAGGCGAATCAACCTCTTGTAAGCAACAAGGAATTTAAAATCTCTAATTTTGATATTACTGATTATCTTACTTGTACTTTATCATCAAATAATTCATCACAGAACGTAACCACAGACAATGATGTTAAGAACAACCAACAGTCTTCAGTGCATGATATGTATGACGTACACTTTATGAATAAATCAGATCATAACAAAACTGAAGATAATCAGTTTGAGCTGGAATTATCTTCAGAACAAAACATTTCTAATACTGATAAAAATTTAGCTGCATCATTAGATGATATTGAAGTGCAACTTCTTACATGTCCAGTTGATGATGTCGTGAAGAACAGCAGAGATTTATTGCCTTCACCTACTGGCTTCATCACACTTACAAAACTTGTTGAAGATGCTAATAACCTGGATAACACAAAGACATCTTTTGAAGTTTTACAGCCTGTAAAACTCATAGAGCTAGAAGCAAAAGGAAATATCAAAGAAAGTGGACATCATAAAGTTCTTGTGAACCAAACATCACCTATAATTATAAATAATGACCAGGATGAAGTAAGGAGGTTTGAAACATCGGGTGATGAACATCTGAGCAACCTTACTTCTGCATCATTGAAGGACTCAACTCATACTTATGGCCCTGAAACTGAGAGTCAGAGCAAAGAAATAGCTGTTGTCACTTCACATGAAAAAACATCTTTAAACAAAGACAAAAACACACTTGTTATTGTGAATAAAACTGACTGTAGTAATGATGGTGTTGACACTTTAGTTGAAAATAAAATCTTAAACAAAGATGAAAATGTAGAGACCCAAGACTCTAAACTTAAAGCTTTTGAAAATGATTTTTACAACCCTTTCCTTAATAAGAGTATATGCATGTTGCAACAAGAAAGTTTCAAACATTCCTCACATCTTGTTGTCAACGTTGAAAGAGAACAAGGATTAGCTGTGCTACTTCCATCTGATAATCATTGCATAAACTATAATGAAGATAATGATGGTGGTTATTCTTTGGGTGATGACGACGAAGGTAGTGTTACAATGGAAGATCTTGAAACTGGGGAGAAACAAGTGATTTTAAATTCAGCATCCAAAATAGAAGTGTTGGAGGATGAAGAGGTTTTGATTATTGATACAACAACAAACGAGGCAATTCTTGTTGAATCAATAGCTCCCACAAAAAATTCTGAATTTTTAAAAACTCCTGTAATTCCAGAACAGGAAGATGAAACAGAGGGGAGGTCTAGTCAACTGTCTAATACCCCAGTAGAGGAACCAGTTCTTGGAATAGAAGGGCAGTCCCCATCAAAGAGCATAGATGAAATTAATTCTGTACAGAGTGATTTAGAAAGCACGGATTTGGATTTCAGTGGTGAAGTTTTATCAGACACTGAGCCTCATTCAGTGTCTGATGTTTTATCAGACAGTGGAGAAGTTAGCCTTAAGTACTTTCCAGAAGATGATGACACTGACATACTCAAAAGTTTGGGTGAAAATGAGTTTGTTTCTAAGACTGAAAACAGAAGTATACTACCAGTTGCTTCTAATGATAGGGGCAACAAAGACAATAAAGTAGAACTACTGTGTACACTAGATGAACATTGGAAGCCTGCAGTTCACGCCGCACACATGGGAATATTAAGAAAGAATGCAGAATTTTCAAGTTCCTTGTGTTCCAACATTGAATATGATAAGCAATTTAATATTGACAAAGATATTCTTTTGACAGAGAATCAAGAGGATGTTCCTTCTGAAAATCATAAAACCAAAAGTACCTTTCTTCCAGTAACAACTGGACAGGAACCAAGAAGCTTGCCACATGTCTCCTCGATCAGTCAGGATGGTATTAAGATATATGATTCTTTTAGCTCTCTGAGAAGAGAGAATAGAAGTCTTTTAGAACCACACAATTCCTTTCAACCTCTATTACCATATGAAAACAAAGAAAACCATGTCAAAATACCCAATTCTCTTTACTCTCCAGCCATAGATCAAAATGATAGAAAAGACTCAACGTTTACATCTAACTTTGTCTACACCTCAGTAGAAGATGAAAGAAATATCCTGGAAATTCCCAAATCCCTTAATATCCCAGTATCGGGTGGAGAGGAAAGAAGTTTTCTAGAATCACCCAACTCTCGGTGTTCCATAATACTTGATGAAGCTAGAGGAAGAAACTTTGAAGAAACATCAAGCTTTGTTAATCAGAGAACTGAAACCTCTAGTCGAGAAATGTACACACCAGATTTTGACAGTGATGGTGAAGACTCTGTAAAAATTGGGTCTCCATGTAGTTCAACGTCTGGCTCATTTGAATGTCTGAATCTAAATGGTTTTGGGTTATCATCAAACCTGCTTGCTGTTCAAGAAGAACCAATAGAGGGTGCCACACTATGGGTCTCTGAGGATGTGCACAGCAGCTACTCCAAACATAGTGTCACCAAGAAATCTGTTTGTTCTCAAGGGCAACATTACCCCCAAGAACCCAAGAGTAGAGATATCTCATGGGAAACTGGTGTTTTACAGGGACTTAAAAATAGACCTTTATCACCAAAAAATTTAAATTACCAAAATTCCAAAGAAAGAACTGAACAAGAAAACAGTTACTCCTTTGAAGATGAGAAGAATACATTAGTACAAACTGTGGTAAGTTAAGTCAGAAGCAATCAACATTTGTTTAGCTAATAATTAACCTGTACTTCCCACACACAAACATATATATATATAACTTATGTATTACAGTTGGTATATTGCATAAGTAGAAAATAAATAAGCATTTCAAAATCATCAATTACTGCATTATGTTTGTGGCAAGAATTAAAATGGTGTAATAGATTAGTAACATTTTGCAAGTTTTGACATGATGATATTTAGAAAATTAGCATCAGTTTTACCAGTCTTAAGTTGAAAATACAGCTTTGTTGAAACCAGAAACAAAGTCCTTAATTTTAAAGGAACACACAAACCTGCAGCTTTGAAATGCCAAATCGAGAAGTGATGATAGTGCTGTACAATATAGATGAAGTCAGCTGTGTTGCATTCCTATTGGTGGGGAGTTGTCACATGTTCATTTGCATGTTACAGCGCAGCTATACCATAGAAAGTTACATGAGAAGCTAGTGGTGAGCAAAATGTTCGCATATAGAGGGCAGCACAAGTCGAAAAAAGCTATTATGTAAGAGAGGTATCCTATCATAATTAGAATTTCAATAAAACAAGGAATAACGTTTATAATCCTGTTTAAGATATATGTAAATTTGACGAATATATTAAGTAATGTTTCATTACAAGAAATAAGCAACCAATCTCAAGTGAAGATGATGATTCTCAGTAAAACAAGTTGAAAGAACTTTCTGTTTACTGTATTTTTATAAAATATCACTTGTTTGAAAATTTGTAAACTACCTAGTTGTACTTTAAGTATCAATATAAAATTCTATGTTTTGAAGTAAATTTAGTGAACGTGTTCTATGGCTTCTGTAACTTTAATAGTGTGCAGTCATGCTCAATGTTTTGCTCTGTACTTACAATTCTTGCATGCACTTTTGGTTAATTCTAATGGGTTTTGACAACTTCTTACTTTGTTGTCATTTTTGTGCTGCTTAGTTTGTGTCAAGTTTATTTTTTTCATTTCCACATAATGAACTCTCACTTTAATATTACTACAACAATTTCAGTTATGGATCTGGCCACTACATATTCACCACCACTTACTACTTCGGGATCCACACTATATACAGAGGAGATTTTGGCCATGGTGCATCACGAATTGGAAACTATCTTACAGCCTGCTACACCTCCAAAACCTCGTCCGAATCTCGTGTATCTGGGTAATCTGGTCCTGATGACGAGGATTTGGACAGCCTTTTGTGTGCTTTCTCGTGCTATCCATCTAGATTTTCCTCATCCTTCATTGGCTTTTTTGGTATGTCACCTATTGTTTCTTAATCCTGTGTCTTATTATTCCTTTCCCTCCCTCCTTCATTTTGCAGCATCATCACATTATTTTCACCCCATCTCCTGATATTCATGTACGTGCTGAACAGTTTCTTACCAATTCACATTTGGGTGCAAGCATGCCTTGATCACTACGTTTGTCTGACTACTATGCCTTGGCTTATTATAGGTCAGAATTTCCAATTTTAGATTCTCATACCTTGGAATCTCTGCTTCAGGTGTGGGATTCCAACCCTGAGACTACACTACGATACAATTTTCCCTGGCTCATTTTCTCATCTTTGTTTCATCTTCACCACTATCCTCTGTTACCTCTCTTCCATCCACCTCCTTTCCAAGGCTATCCACTATTCTCCTGAGGAGTTTTCAGCGGGTACACATATCCTCCTCTTTTCCATGTTGGTGCTTTTACCTTCCTTAGCCCTTCATACATGGCTCTATTGTTTTTGGGACCTTCTTGGCAGGGATACCCTCTTGTCTCACATGTGTCTACCTACTTCTTATTTGTGACACCTCCTTCCAACTCCTATTTTGGACAGTCTGTTTTTAAGGATCTTCCTGATACTATGTATTCTCAGATGGAGGCTGCACATCAACATTCCTCCCTTGTTTCTCGTCTTGTCTCCCTGCATCCTCTCCACTACTGGTGCCACCTTCCCAGGCTTCTGCAGTGAGTAGTAAAATTGGCCATTGTCATGTTTTCCAATGCCAGTTTCATCGGTCACTATCCCATAGGTTTTGGAATTGTGGGGGGCATTGTTAGCCAGATTTGTTCACCCGTGGTGCTTATTCACCATGGACCCCTGTGTTCTTCAGGTTCTAACAGGACCATCCCTTCGATTTTCTACCCCCTTTATCTTCATTTCCTTTCTTCTTTCCTCAGGATCCCATTTCATGCCAATATCTCTCACGATCTTCTGCACAACCATGTTATTGAACAAGTATTTCACACTTCTCTAGGGTTTTATTCCCAGTTGTTCGTAGAAAACCGGAGATTGGTGTTCTGTCATTGATCTCTCCAATCTCAACCAATTCCCCGTCCTCCTGTGGTTCATCATGAAGTCTCTCCTCACCCTTTGTTGGTCGCTCACTACAGGTCTTTGGACGACCGAGGTCGATGTTTGTTCAGAGGGGCCAAGTGTTTCAGTTCTGGACTCTACCTTTTGTTGAGCATTGACGACATACTTCTATCATGTGGTCAGAGCCTTTGCTCACCACCTTCACACTTAGGGTTTGTGGCTCCTTTTAGCTCCATCTTAACAAGTCTATCACAATCATGCCCATTTCCTCCTAAGGAAGCAGCTCGTGTGGGATGGTTTGTCAAGCTGGAAAAATCCTATCTCCCTCCAATCCAGTATCTTATCTATTTGGGGGTGTTTTTCAACACCTATCTTACCAGGGCCCAGCCATCTCTTCTTCATTTGAGGTCAATGGAGCTCTTGGTTTTCAAAGCCAAATCCTCTACTTCTCTACCTGCACACCTCTTTTTGGGGACCTAGGCTTCCATGGAAACTTTCATATCCTGGGGTCATGCACACATGTTGTCTTTAGTGGATGTTGCATGATCAATGGAATCTCATTCAGGATCTCTTGGTGACTTTGCATGGTGGCTTAGCAAAGACAAGTTCTTGGCTGGCATTTCTCTGCCTCCTCCATGTCTCAATTTGCACCATTTTACAGATGCTCTCTGGTCATTGGATAGTGGTCGAATCTTCCCTCTACATCAGCCTTTCGGAACTTTTTGCAGTTTGTCGGTTCTTGGATCATTTCCTACCTTTAGTACAGGGCCATTTGGTCCTGATCCATTCTGACAATTCGACTATTGTCTCTTACATCAATCGAACATCCATTCGCTTTGCTATCAAGCATTGATCTCCTTTTCTGGGCCCAGTCTCAGCAAGTCTGCCTTCTTGCTTGTCATGTCCCAGATGCGCTGAATCATGTAGTGAATTGGTTATCTCTTCCAGAGAGAATTCTACCTATAGAGTGATGTCTTTCTCCTTAAGTATTTCGGTAGTTATGCTCCCTGTTTGGTACTCCTCTTCTAGGTACATTTTCCACCAATCACAATACTAAACTGCCCCTCTTCTGGTCTCCAGTTCCACATCCTCTGGCTTTAGAAGTGAATGCCTTCAGTCAGAATTGGGACAATCTTTACTTTTTCGCTTATCCTCCTATCCATTTTCTTCCCTGTGTTCTCTCTTGATCTGAGCCACTCTATGTCGAGTCCTTCAAATCGCCCCATTCTGGCCTGTTCAACCATAGTTTCTGATTCTGGCTATCACTTGCCACTCATCACCATTCTTCATACATCATTTCGACTCTGAAAGAGTAAGTTCTCTTTTTTATTTCTTCCCTTTCCAGTTGCCCTTTCTCATTTCCTGGATCCTGCTCTGCAGCAAGTAGTGCCTGTCCAGATATACCTAAATGTAAATCTGCACCATATGGCCCTACAAGTGTATAATACTCACCAAAGAGATGGGATGTTCCACAAGACCTTTGGAGGCTGCCTCACGGTATCATGCTTCATAACTTCAATCCACAGTAGACTGTACAACTCCTGAACTATCATGAGAAAAGCAGTGTTGGGATTGCTGGCCATCTCTCTGGTCCTGGTTTATTCAACCAGGACCAGCCTGCTTTTCAAAATAGGGTTTTTGTGGTCAGCCATTGCGCTGTCTTTTGGTATTGCATTCCTCTGGACTTCCCACTGCATTGCCCATCCTCTCCCAGTGGATTACGGGAGTCCTTTCCACTTACCAGTTCCTAGCCACTGGGGTAGTGGACCATAGAGGCTTCCTCCTTAGTGTGACCAATTCCACTCAGTTGAGAGTAGGGTGGTGGTGTTCTGTTGGTGTAGATGGTAACTACTCTTCTCCTATTGTGGATGGGAAAAAATTCCTGATGCCACCTAGTTTTGGACTGGACGAATCCATTACATGCAGGTTACATCTTCAGCTGACTTTCCCCCATCCTTCTGCTGCCTGGATATCAGTTTTCACGTGATCTGGTGTTGTATTGGTGTAGGACCAGCCTACATAAGTCCTCACACATGGCTGATAGGGGCCCTCCTTCTATTGTGGAACAGATAAAGAATTCTCAATGCTGCCTGGTTTTGGACTAGAAGTTAACCCACCCACCAGGGCTCGTGTTGATTGTATACTGGGCATATACACATGTGCCCTGCCTAGGTTGTCAGAATAGAAGTTATTTTTCCACTGCTTCCTGGTATTGAGTTGAAGACAGTTGGGACCCTCCTCCTACCCACACACTTCCTGCCTGTCCTCCATACTTCCAGTGCATCTTTTGTACCTAATTTCGAAGTGACGATAGTGCTCTTCAGTCTAGTGGGAGTCAGCTGTGCTAAGAGAGTGTGTTGCACTCCTATTTGTGGAGGGTTGTTGCATGCTCA